CGCACGGTCGCCAAATCCATGGATCGGGGGAGGTGCCCCCCCCAAAATGCGGCCAGAGCCGCATCGTTCGGCGGCGGATATCAGCGATTTGCCATGGAAACGGGACCCATCAGTAATCCACGCTCCTTTGATCCATGTTTGCGGTCGCCTGAAAAAGGTGGGGATGCAACGCGGTGCGCACGGATGGATTGAACGCGACGTGCACAGCACAACCTTCTTCGAACACCTCGTAAATAGCACCATGTGCGAATCAAGGTTCATCCGCCCCAGCACGCTTTCGCGAACGGCTGCCCGAAACAGGGCAATCAAATGGCGAACTGGCGTTGCTAGATCCCCCGTAACCTTCTCCTCGTGCGAATATGTCATAAACTCCTTCCCTCTTTGTAGATTCGCCACGCCTGGCAGACCGCATGAAAAAGGCTTCTGCGGAAAGCTCACCAGCGAAGATATTGCAATCCGACCTATCCTCTTCGAAAGCCCTTCCCTTCGGAGAGGGGTACCTTCCCCCTCCCCTCCCTGAGTTTTTGTTGGCGGGGGCCGCGATGTGTCAGAGGGTCCTCTTTCGCTCAAGATGGCTGCAAGACGGCGATTGAGGGCCACCCCAAGCGTCACATCTACACCGCCCTTGCGAGGTGCCTCGATATGCCACCCCGAGACACGACCACCGGCACCACACCCCCACTTGGCCGCCGCCCTCCCCGCCGCCCAATAACTTAAGCTCATTCCCCCCCTCACGTCGGGGGACCGCTTCGAATAACCCCATCGGGCCTCTCAGGGGTGGTACGGCGGGCCCGCGCCTTCTGTGGCTGGCCAGCCACAGGGCAAGAGTCTCTCTCGCAGCCCCGTCGAGCTGTGGTGTCGTTCGGGCTGCCAACCTGCGTTTTCCTGGGGCGCCACCACCCAGCGGCACAGGCGAGGCCCACGATATGCCCGACAGGCCCCCCTGGACGTCCCCGAAAGCGCCAAAGAGCGGCCCGAGGGCTCCGTCAGAGGGCCTTCGCCCCTATTGCCGTCAACTCTCATGGGCAACGTTTCTGAACTGGCTGCTGGGGATTTTTTTTCGCGAGCGCCGCAGTCCAACCGCGCGCCGTCTGGAAACGCACAGCCGAACGAGCAGCGGGCAATATTAGGACCTGAGCGACAGGAGCGGGCTACGCTGCCACTCAGGAGGCGAAAGCGACGCTGAAGAACAGGTGGGTCAAGCCAACGCCGACGAAACGCTGGTGGGGATACGCGAGGCGTGAATCATTTCACATTCGTGTCGTGATAGCGCTGCTTTCTGACACCGCTTGACTCGTTCCGCCTCGAGCGATCGTGGCTTTCCAGTCGCGCAGGATCGCTCGATATCCGTCGACTCCCTGCTGCTGGCGGCGTTCAGCCTCGAACGCCCGCGCTGGGGTCGCCGCAGCGTCGACATGACACTGGTCTCGGGGCGGACGAAAGGCGGAGACAGCAAACTGGGGGCTGGCGACTCAACTCGGGTGCTTGGCTGGTCTTCCAGGCGCCAAGAGGCGACCATGCCTCGAGGAGTGCGCCCAGCGGCGAGCTCGAAACCCAAAGGTTGCAGCAACTCTCGTACCCCCACGCTTCCCTTTCTTCTACCCTATCGTCCAGACCGACTCCTGACCACATAATACTTATCCAGAGGCCTCCCAAATGGGGTCCGAGTAGATGTGGTCGGAGGATCGCGCCGCATCGCCGATGCATAGGCGACGTCGGCGTCAAGGGCATCAGGCTACACATCGGGCCGCATCGCCGATACATCTACGATGCGGCGCGGTCCACCGACCCCATGTACTCGGACCCCATCTCTCGCCATCGCTGGGACGTCCATCCCCGTTCGTTTGTCGATGACGTGCGTTATGTTTACCACAAGTTGACCCAGGATGGATCTCGATGGTCCTCGCCGAGAAGAAATGCACACGGCCGATGGATGCCAAGACCTGGGAGGCTTAGATTATGTCCCCTGCCGCCATCCCGCAGACCGGCGCTCCCCTGTCAAAACGAAGCCAGGACGAGGAGAACATCGGCTTTGGATAAGTCGAGAACCTCTGAGATCTGGCGGCTCTGGATGATGCATCGTGCGCCGCAGCCTTCTCAGCGCGTTCAGGAACGCGCTGAGAGCGCTCCGGCACGCTCTGGAACGGATTCGTCCTCGTCGTAGCCGTAAGTCGGGCCTGTCCCTCTACAGGAGGATATTCAACAATAGTAACAGAAATAGTCTGGGACGATTTTTTTGACAATTTCTAAGCCTTTTGGGGGCATGTTTGGGGTATCTGTTGTTTTCCGTCAATCTGCCTGTATAGGGGGACATGTCCGACCTCATCGCAGCCCCGTCTACCCTTAAGTCGGGCCTGTCCCCCTACAGGGGGATTTTCGACGAAAAATGCAAAGAAACAGAGAAAAACAAATAGTCCAAAAATCATCTGGGGACAATTTGTTTAAGTTTTTTTGTTTTACCTTTTTGGGAGATGTTTGGGGTATTTTTTGTTTTTCGTCGAAAATCCCCCTGCAGGGGGACAGGCCTGACTTAACTCTGCCCCCTGCCGCCCCCCCGCAGGCCGGCGCTCCCCCGCCCCACCCCTCCTGACTCCGCGTAGAACGAGGTCCTGCCGCGGCGCCGGGGTCGGGAGCGGCCAAGAGGGGCGTCCAAGAGGGGGGGATGCAAATCATGGCCGGCGGCACGTGCGCGGCCCAGGGGGGCGGGCCAGGAACGTAATGAAGCAAAAAGAAGCGCCGCGAAATCTGGGGAAATATCATGGCCCACGCCATGATCTCCCCCCCCCCCCCCTTTGAGCAGGGAACGACCGACCCGGCATTCCAAAAAGTCCTACCACGAAATCTTCTTAGAACCCGCAAATGTTCTGATAACAAAAACAATGTTCTTAGAACAGAAGCCCGATGTGCTAAAACAAGACAATCACAACCAGAAATGCTCTGAGAACATGCCGTGGAAACCGCAGAAGGCTCTTAGAACAGTGCTTGGTAGGCCTACAGGCGAGCCAGGACGCTTCGCCACTGCTTGAAAGATCCGGCGCCCTGGCTGACCCCTGTTTACTAAGAGGGGGGCGTCCAAGAGGGGGGGGCGCAAATCGTAGCTGGCGGCATGTGCGCGGCCCCTGGGGGGGGACGAGGCCTGGGGGGGCCGAGGCACGTGATAACACAAGAAGAGGCGCCATGAGATCTGGGGAAATATTCTGGCCCACGCCATCCCACCCCCCTATTCATCACTCCCCTCTTTGCCGCCCCAGACCTTACCC